GGAAGGAAAGTCTTGAACGAGCGCATCTTTTACATATTTCGTGTATTTTGACGGCAAAAAAAAAGAAATATATTAATTTTAGGATTAAGGACCAAATTGATCACAATTTATGATACATAAAGGACCATTTCCATCAAGTCCATACATTAAGGACCAAATGGAATCAAAGCCCATACATTAAGGACCATTTTGATCATTTTCTCTATCTACCTCTGTATTGCCTCTCTGAAAGATCACTAACCTTAACACCACTAAGGATCAGTTTGGCCTCAAATATATTTGAGAAAATTTTGGAAAATGATATCTGGTCATATAATTTGTTACTATTTATAATAAATAAATATATTTGCCAAATACTAGAAAAAAAAATAGTATAGACAAAGTTATAATATTTAGAAATTTTAAAAAATTACCTCAAACTTTTATAACTTTTTATAAAAAACACTCATCATTTATTTATTTCAACTAATATTTATCTACCAAATTACTCCATTAATAACTAATAACTAATCCTCTCTGCTATCTATACATAACGTGGTAAAAAAGAACAATTTATTTTTAATGAGTTATAATTCATCCTAAATCATTGAGAAGTTGAAGTATGCGACTAATGTATATTGTTTTTTCCATAGGGTCATTTTTAACGAAACATGTTCATTATAAAATGACAATACAAACGTAAATGTACTTTAATAATTTTTAGAACTCATGGATATAAATCATATTTTTTGAAATAGTCAAATATTTCTCCCACAATTTATGACCAAACACATGGTGAAACTTCACCCAAAAATAATTTGCAAGAATATTTGGAAATTTGAGGTCAAACACATTCATTCCATTTTATTTAAGTTTTACATAAAATTATGAGAAAATAGTCAAATGCCCCCCTAACCTATTAGTCAATTCTCAACTACACACTTATACTTTACGGGGGTCCTATTACCCCCCTAAAAAAATTATTTTTGATATTTTGTGACCCTTAAACGCTGACCTGTCCAAGAAGGTGAATAAACCTCTTGTAGGCGCGTAAGGGTTCAACAAAAAGACATAAAATGACTAAAATTGAACTAAATAATCCATTGGAGATTATATAAGTAATTCATTTTTTTTATTCTTTCCCTTTTTTTACATCACAAAATTGTTATACCCATTTCATGATTTCTTCAAGTTTTTCTCAAAGTCCTTCAATCATCTTCTAAATTTCGTCTCTAGGAGCTCCAAATCAATTTATAGCTACTGATTTATGCTTAGTTAATCATACATCAACCGTTTTTAGCAACAACAATCACCTAACTCATAAGAAACTTTCATATATGAAGCTCAAAAATGGAGTTCAAGTTTTTTCTTAAACCCCTCATAATTTCAGCAAAAAAAAATAAACAAAAAGAAGTCAAACGACAATGAAACAACAATGGTGAATTTGAAATTTCATTTTCTAATTTCATTCTTACCAAATTTATTTTTTACTCCCACATTTGTGAATACTTATTTGTGGAATTTTGTTTTGGGTTGGATTTCAAATTGAAAGTTTATGTAGACTAGCTATGGACTTGTTCTTCTTCTTTAATTTGGTGTAGAGATTTTTTTCATCATTTTCTCTTATTATTCTCTAAAGAAATCATTAGTATTTGGAAAACAATCTCTATTTGAAAGCATTTTGTAAATTTCAATTTCTAGGTTTGATAAAAATGGAAACTTTACATAATTTTACAGGAGATTATTAAATTATTATTTTGATTAAGCTTATAATTTACAGGGAAAAAAAGAATAAAAAAAATGAATGTAGAGTGATTCATCGCGTGTGCTGCACAACTTTGACATAAAACTGGTTATGCCTTTTTAGGGAGGTGATTATTCCATATTTAAATAGATCAGGGGGTAGTAAGACCATCATATAGAATAAGTGTGTAGTTGAGAATTAGCTAATAGGTTGAGGGGGCTTTTGGCTATTTTTCCTAAAATTATTGAACAATTCTTTCATGTCCTTTCGATTTGCTCAAGTATCATAGAAAATATATATTTTTTAAATTTAATATCATATAAAATATCTCCTTTTTTTTTGTAATAAGTTTTTGTATGTGCAGGCAAAAATGAATGACCTTTTGCTTACAAACCCTTTTTATGAATTTTATGACACTTCAATAAAATCGATTGATTTTTTCACTACAAAAATAATTTCAGTAAATTTAGTGCAATATAATAAAATCCAAGAACTAACTCCAGTGTTATATATGGAATTTTCACACAATAAGATGAATCTTAATAACTATTGCAATAAATATAAATCGGCAATTTCAAGAAATTGTTATTTGTTAGTAATTATAATTTACTATAATTTGTTAAATTATAAAGAGTGACAAAGATTCTTTTGGACAATGTATATTTGGAAGAATATTCATGGACCTATTAACCAAAGAGAAAAGATCGACGAAGCATTCACCAACTCACGAAGTAAAAAAGGAAATAATTTATTATTTTTTCCGTCTCTTTTTAATTATATATTGTTTTGGCTCCAAAAAATTGTACTAAAATAATTAACCCTTTAGGAATTAAAATTGATAATTATTTTTAAATTATAACCTTCAAATTACAAAAATATTTACCTTTTTTTAATAGAAGCAACTTTTAAAAAAAAGTTAAAATAAGACGAAAGGAGTAACACATACGAATTGTTAGTTTGTTACCTTTACAATACTAAACTTCCTTATTCACACTTCCAATTATTTCCTTATTTACACTTTTCTTCTTATTTATGTGTTTAATACATAAAAATTACTACATTTTATGCTCTATAAATACTCCTCAAAATCTCAGTTCGATCTCAACAAAATAGTAAACACGGCAGACATAGAAGATGGATGTTGCGAAGACGCTTGTATCCATTTTTCAGCATGTCTTTGCATCATCTTTTATGCGTTGATCGAAATATTTGTAATCAGTTTCATGTGTTACGTTGCATTCATCAAGCCATTAGCTTGTTTACCGCATATGTTGGATATATTCATCAAAATTTCTGCAATTGCACTCTGTATCAGACTCATAGCCGTTTTCATTTATCGATTCTGCTACAGAGGAGGAGATTAATTTTGAAGACTTTGATGAGTATGAAGATCTAGAGATTATTTAAGTTTACTTTACTTTACTTTTTTTATATAAGTTATATAATTCGTTTATTGGTACTTTAAGATTCTATGTAGTTATTTTATTTTAGCATTCAAATTATGGAAGAATTACAATTATTTTCTTTTCTTGCAAGTTGAAGTTTAGAGTGTTACGATTTATACGTAAACATGTTGAATTTTTTTTTCCAATCAAGTCATATAATAAGTAATTTTTATTTATGAATTATCAAACGCATAATTAATGTTGGAAAAACAATAATAGTATGCATCTCAAATATAATACTTATATCATCTTTTTATATTCTTGCATTTAATTAGCCTTTATGGTTTTTTTATAAAAACTTTTGGACTTTATTGCCCCATCCTTGAATAGCCTTTGTTTGACCATTTTTCTAACATAATGTGTAAACGTTAATTTTTCAATTGTAACGATTCGTTACTTGGACATTATTTCTCTTAACTAGCCATTAATTTTATTAATAGTCCATTATTCTTATTTTGATGGTTGGAGCTCTTTAATCATATTACAATTTTGTAACTGGATATTTTACCTAAGATTTCCAACAATTAAGGACCAAAAGTAGAGCCAACAACTATTTCCTTATTTCATCCTAGTTTACGTATTTAATAATTAACTAGTTTAGAGTATGCATTGTGCACGTGTGTTCACATCAATCAATAAAACTATATACAAGTAGGGGTGTTCATCGTTCA